CCGCCTGCTTCTGTGCAGTTTCTGCTTTTGTTTTCTACTGCTGCCAAGTGCTACAAGGCCCAAATTTCAGCCAGACCTGGGGAGAGCTTGACCCTCCTTTGACGCTGATATGGCGCTGCCATTCGCGTAGTCTCTTGTGTCTGGAAGTGCAAAGGGGCAGCAGCTGCAGCAGGCCGTACAACCCCCCCAGCAGTAGCAGGAGCAACCAGCAGCAAACCAGCCACATGTCCCCGGGAGGAAACTGCGTCAAACCGCAGCAGCACAAGGCAAGGTAAAAGACCAGCTCTTTGACCCCCGTTTCAATTGGGGACTCCTTCTTCAGAATAGTGTGCGAAAAGCAAGGGTAGTCGTGTAGAGGATTAAACAGCGCCTACAGAGGAAAGAAACAGCAAAATTGCATCTGCAGGCGTTGAGGAACCGTCAGAGTTGGGGGCTGCAAAGCCGCAGCGCCAGCCGCATGCAGAGGCTTCTAGCCGCCTGATGAGAACTGTGCCCAAGGAAACCAGCAGCAACATCAGAAGAAGTAGCAGCAACAGGCCCAACGTCTGTTTAAAGGGCAGCAACAAACGACAGAAGACTGAATAAGCTGAATTTGTCCTCTCTTCTGCTTCCTGCACCGCACGCACATCACCCCATACGCACTAGACCCTAAACTTGACGACCTAAGCCCGAGAAAATAGACCCCTTTCACTGCCTGGTCAGCTTATCTAGCACTGTAGGCCATCTCTGCTGCAGCGGGCCCCCCCAGTAAGCTCGAAAATGTTCGCGTAGTAAACGAATTTCTCTCTAAGTAATATTAGGTGCCAATGCCCCAAATTAAACATAAGTAAACATAAACAAGTAAACATAAGTGGGAGCCATCAAAGGCTATTAAAAGTATTAAATATTCAATAGGAATCATCCAAGAAGACTGAGTACTAGTAGCCAAGTCCCATTTAGCACAGCTGAACATGGCTACTACTAAACAAAGGTAACTAAACCTTTCCAAGTAAACATAACGAAAAGCCCTGGAAATAGTTAATCGGAAATGAGCAGCTTATTCTCGATCAACCGAAATTTGGTATTCAAAAATAAAGGGTAGTAACTACACTCTTAGAAAAGTCCAGCAAAAGCCAACACCACCTGACAATGTCCAGGGAAAACCCTCACCTGCAACTTGTACTTCTTCTCGCTGCACATGCGCTGCTGCGCACGCAGCTGCTGGAAAGTCTCAGCGTCTGAAGGGCTCATTTGGCGGCCTCCTGCATATTTGTTCTGCGAGAGAAATCACGAATAAGAAAGCGCCGGTTATATGTAATAATTACAAATATGTACATAAAAGTCATATATATATATATATATATATATATATATATATA